TATCAGAACTAAACAAACTAGCCTAAACTAACTCCTACCCTAACCCTAAACTAATCCTAACCTAGACTGAGTAATTGTCATATAATACTGTGATAATTACTGAGTTCAGTGTTCTTTAATCTTCTCAATTCTCAAGCTGCAAATCTACAACATGGCTATTATTCATGATTAAATTGGTAACAGTAAAGCGAGTTATTGTTATGTTATATTCTTCATGGATGATGAATAATTATAATTGGTTATTAATTTAAGAAATCAGTATTAAAAAAAATGAATACAAAGTGTTCAAATATTATCAAAAATCTAATACTGTAGTAATTTAATTTTAAACTATACCACTATCTCTACCCTAATTTAAGCTAAATGTTTAATCATATTAAGTTGCAGTGTAATAAGCATAAAAGGTTGTTAATCACTTTTTAAACTATATAAACATGTATTGCCAAATACACTGTTTAATTTGATATTCGTAATTCATTTATTTTTTAAAAAATATGTTAATTTTAAAAGACTCTAACAAAGATTTGCAAACACTGTACTTTCTTAAACTATACTGATTACCACAGTAATAAATTAGTGCTGCCAAGAGAAATATAACTTCAATCATCCAGAATTTATATGATTGAAGCTTTATTTTTATATTTAACCAATCATTTAAATATTTAGTCATATAATATTTATTTAGTCAACAATTTAGGCATTTAGTCAAATTTAAACTTTTAACATGTCAAAAAAAAATAATACTATGTCAAAATATATTTAGACACTAATTGCCTAAATGGTTGACTAAATTAAATATTTTAACTAATAACATTAGATGTTACCCCACATATCCTCTGCCCTTATTGGGTTCACAACAACCCCAGTACTTGCATTCTAGCCGTCTTCTTACCCGGATTCTTTATTGGTCCCTCCCTTACTTCTAGCTGGCAACCCAGAAGGGTTGGTTTGCCCAGGCTTTAGATGCCTGAAGGATGCCCTTCTCTTGGTCCATACTTTCAGAGCGTATGTTCTTTTTTTCTGGTGTGACAACCCAGCGGTTTAGCTGGTGTGTTCTCTGCCAGCAAACCTAGTCACTTAGTTTTTCAATTTCAAGCCCCAGTTTGAATTCAGCCTTCTTGTAATACCATCAAAGATCTCTGCTACTTCCAATTTAGGACTTCCAAAATAGGTTTTCGGTTTTGCTAGTTCCTTAAATTTATTGCGCTATTGCTCCTATTACTAGATGGTATAACCGAAGTTACAAATTAGATCCAACTGATATGTATAGCCATCAACTGAACACAAGCCTATTTTTCAAATATTGTTGTCTGTGAGATTTGAACTCTAAACCTGCTACTTGAAGAAGGTGATAACTATATCACTACACTAAGTTGCCACATCTCTATAGATTAAAATTTAAAGTAGTACTTTAAGAGATACCAAACTAAAAGCAAGAAGAGTATTTACTTGAATAATACCAATTTGAAAATTATATAAAAAACAAATTAAAAGTAATATAATAAGAATGAAAAATAAAAGTTAACTAATAAATATTACATAATAGTATATAAGCAGGATATATAGGTTTGAGAATTATTTAGTAATTTGAAAACTGGTCTAGTACAAATAGTTAATTAGAAAATAAAATCTTATATAGCAAGTTATACATACCGTATATTACCGAATAGAAGCTACCAAAAAGTTTTCGATTTTCTTCGATTTTCTTAGGCTAAACTGCAGGGGTAGCTTCTATTCGGGTCTAATTTTACTATTAAAACATAGTAACCGTTTTCAGATTTTTGGATCCAAAATCGAGAGGTAGCTTCTATTTGGGGTAGCTTCTATTCGGTAATATACGGTAGATATTAATTAAGTAACTAGATAAGCTAATTAATAAATTAAATAGTTAAAATTGTACTTATAACTTTGTAACCAATATATATGAAGTATTTTAATAAAATATTAGCAGGACTGCTGAATTAAAAAAAAATTACTTTTAAAATTAGTAAGGTAAGTATGGGTATTATGCTACACTACTAATTATAGTACAATTTCAATATCTTGTAATCTGTTAATTGGAATTGTATGATTTTGGTACCAATTAATTCATTTCACTAAGACAAATTGATTAGTACCAAAATTGTACAATTCTGATCAATGAGTTATGAAATATTGTCACTAAAGTGATAGTTAGTATCTTTTTATATAGAGTTTTATAAAGATATTTATTAAAATTTTTTTGGAATTATTTACTTTTTTTAAAAGACCAAATGACTTTAATAATCATTTTGTTATTTAATATTATTAATCTGCGGTTTACAAAAATGTTTTTCTGGTACCAAAAATCCAAACATATTTTTTTGTAAAAAAACAATAGCATATAGTAAAAAACGGAGAGCAGTGCTATAAGTCAGCAGTTGTTATTTAGAGGTAGTTCTCATATGCTACCTGCTAACTTCTTCAGAGTTTATTACTCACCGCAAGCACAGCACTTATCGTTTAGAAGTAGTTCTCATACGCTACTTGCTGACAAGCCCAGAGTTTATCACTCATCTACAAGAAAGCATAAATACCTCATCCCTTTCCTAGAAGAAGGTTTAGAAGTTGTTGAGTTTTTATATTGATATAACTACTTTTCTTGGGTGCAAGTAGACTCTCTCTAGGTGTTTCTTGCTTGGCTGTTCTCTTCCAAAATTTTCAACAAAAAGTGGGTGATTTGGCTTACCTCATCCAAAAGATTGGCATTGTTTATCTCCCAAATTCAGACATACCCAGGAATGCAACCACATACTTTGTTTATCGGTAGATATGATACACGACGTAATCTATGGATACGGGACCTTCACGTGACTGGGATCGGGTCTCTGGCATAAGAGGCATCTGGAGGTGGCTAGTAGTTGGTTAATAAAGGTTTTATATTATAGTTGAGATATACAAACGTTGTAGTTGTTATAAAATTTTTTCTTAAACCTAGTACGGGTTATAATAGTGTATTTCTTCTTGTTTTGTTTTTTTTATTTTGTTTTCCCTGTGCTATTTCTTTATAAAGATAGTTTCCTCTTTGTCAGCTCTCGGGCTTTTCTCTTTGTATTTCTTTTTTTTACATCTCATTGTACCCTCTTTTTTTTCCTTTAAAAACACCACTTTGTTCTATTTGTCTTTTTTAGTTAGTTTTTTCGGGTTGTTTTCTTGGTATTATTAGTAGTTTTGTATAAGATCATTACTTTCTTTTGCTCTCGGTAAAGAAAGGAGATATGAAGAGAAAAGCTTTAACAGACTGACAAAGTTTATCTAACTTGTATATACGTTGGTATGACAAGTTGCAGTTAGGCATGTTTATCGCAGCCAAGTGATGTCAGGCTCGCAATCGCGAAACTCACTGTTTTTTGGTTATAAATGATATATATATTGTTTGAGAGAGCTTAGCTCTCACCTGAAATATAGTTACAATAAATTAAGCACTGGCAAGACTGTTAAAGATTTTTTTTTTAAAAAAAAAAAGTTTTTCCAAGATATTATCTTTAGTTTTTTTATTTAAGATTCTTTCTCAAGTTTTGTATCTGAATTTTTAGAAATTAATTTTATAAATTGCCACATAATTCAAATTAAAGTTTATGAATTTTGCATTGTTTATAATAATCAGGCAGTATAACAAATAAATTGTATTAGCTTACATATAAATAAGTGAAATTTCATACTATTAACTCATTTATCTTTTACATGTAACAAAAAGTAACTACAGTCAACCCCCTCTATAATTACACGTTTTGTTTACTTAATAACTTTTTTAAAAAATATGCTTATAAAGAGGTTGTGCTTATATAGATGTGGTTTTTTATATGTTTAATAGTAATTTGGTTTTGTATATAGAATGTGATAAAGAAAAAAAAACTCTTTCTGCAAATCCCTAACACAAAATTTACTTAAATTCGTTCAACAAAAAACATCCATTTACACAAAATTTTACTATGCTAACCTAATTATATACAATAACAAAAGTATATTTGTAAAGAAAAGCCCTAAAATGTTTTTAGGCAAAAAAATTCAAACTTTTATCGTTTGCTCTTTAACCTGATTCTTAACCTATACAATACGTTTAGTAAAAGTTGTTCTACATACTCTTCTCGTTATAACAAGCTATATTTTATCTCTGTAGCATCAAAATTGACAAAGTTACTCTTTAAACCATTTTAACTTTCTTTTTACAAATTTTGTCTTTTTTTTGTACTTTCCACTATACATGATTTTTGTATAACATCCAATCACTTCCAAATTTATCCAAATTAACTTTATTATAAAAATATTAATTTTCCTTTTATATTTTTCATTCTAACAATCAATTTTATACAAATTTGTTAATCATTATACAAAAGCTTATTATTTATATGGATAAATTTATTTGTTGCTACCCGTTACATGACATTTTTGTCATGGGTCACGTGATACATAATCGGCCAATCAAAACGTAAGTATATTTAAAATATGAATTTTTATTATCTGTATTTATTCTACTAATACTAATACTAACCCTACTAACCCTAACCGCTAACTAACCCTACTAACCTAACTGCTAACTAACCCTAACCACTAACTAACTAACCCTAACTCTAACCCTAACCACTAACTAACTAACCCTAACTATTAACTAATCTCACCCTACTCTAACCATCAAAATCGTCATATAAAGAAATGCTACAAAATTCACTGAAAGCATGAACCTACATAAGTGAAACCAAAAAGCTCCAAACATGAAATTGGCACGCTATGAAATCGACAGCACTACAAAGATGAAGTGACAGTAACCTTAACTTTAAGGACAACAACTCCTAAAAAAAAAAAAAAATAGTTGGTAAAACACATACACGAAACCGACAGTGAAACTCTAGAAAAATGAAAGCGATAACTCAATTCACCAAAAATGGCGAACTAATAAGAGCAGGAACCCGGAGAAGACACCGAAATTGACATCATAGTAAAATGACAGTAACGATGCAACACAAAATCTACTGAAATCAAAAATGGCACAACATAATGATGCAACACAAAATCCACCGAAATCAATGACAGCACAACATAACGATGCACCACAAAATTCACCGAAATCAACAACGGCACAACACCAACGAAGACTAGCTCCAGCAACGAAGACTCTACAAATGATGACTTCAATAACTATGCCTAGTTACCTGAAAAAAAGAGTTTGGTTAGTAAAACATATACACAGGTGAAATGCCAGTAATGATGCACCACAAAGCCTACCAAAATCGATGACAGCACCACACCAACAAAGACTAGCTCTAGCGATGAAGACTCCACAAACGACGACTCCAGTAACAACACTTAGTTGCCTGAAAAAAAGAGGGTGGTTAATAAAACACACGTACTAGAAAAACAAAACCTATGAATTTACATAGGCGAAATGCTATCAACGATGCATCACAAAGCCTACTGAAATCGACGACGGCACCATACCAGCAAAGACTAGCTCCAGTAGCAACGACTTCACAAACGATGACTACAAAGACAATGACTCCAAAGACGACAACTCCAATAACAATGCCTAGTTATCTAAAAAAAAAGTGTTTGGTTAGCAAAACATATATGCACTAGAAAAAAAAAAAAAAAAAAGCAATGATTATCAATGATAATCATTGCTTATATATTGCACATGACCCGTTACAAATATGTCATGTAATGGGGGCAACAATAATATTTATTCTATTTATATAATAACCCTTTTTTTAGCTAACCTTACTACTCTAATATCCCAAATTTTTTGCATATGATTTTCATACAATTTGCACCCTAAAATTGAACATTTATAACTTATATTTTCATATATATTTTTCTATATTTATATATTATCTTATATATAGTAACAATTATATCTATTAATTGGTGATCTACAAGTCAACCAAAGAATGATCATAGTAAAATGTGACTCAAATTACTTATAAAAATTGGGGTCTCCAAATGTGGCGTGTGTGCATCTAAAACTTTTTTTTATACTAAGTTAATCACTTTTCTAACTTAAGAGACTTTTGTAGAGCTTGTCAAGATGCATCTAATGGTGGTTAAAGCGTCAAAATCGGCTTGGTGGGTGCTGAGATATCTTTAAAAAATGTTTCTTTTACTATATAAACTTTTTTAAAAATATCTCAGCACCTACCAAGCTGATTTTGACGCTCTAACTATTATTAGATGCGTCTTGACAAGCTCTACAAAAGTTTCTTAAGTTAGAAAAGTGATTAATTTAGTATTAAAAAAAGTTTTAGATACGTGTATGCCACATTTGAAGACCTCTAATTTTTATAAGTAATTTTAGTTACATTTTACTATGATCATTCTCTGGTTGACTGGTAAATCACCAATTAATAATACTAAATCTTTAAAATTCAATAACTTTTGATCTATCTAACCAATTTAGATGATTTAACTACCAAAATGATGGCCTTTTCAAGACGCTTCTAATGAATTCAAAATCATTTGATTCTCATCACGTGATCAAAATGCCATCAAGATTTATTTTTCAAACTATTTATATTTTTTTATTAAGTTTTTTATTTTTATTTTTTACTTTAGTATTTATACTTTAAACTAACTATGATTTAACAAAAATTTTCTTACTATAAGCTTTCTAGTGATATGCTTGATTGGTTTCAAACATTTCCAATCAATCCAGAAGCCCAAAATTTAACACAATTTCCAACTTCTCTTGGAATTAATGTTTTAAATTTTATTAAACTTTTTCTTCAAAACTTTTACCCTGGACATGCAACCCATACTTCTACTAGTTTTCAGCAACCTATTTGTACATCAGCAAATTATATAAACGTAATCTTACGTAAGATATTACGGCCCGTAATATTGCGCAAGAATTACGGTC